TTCTTGGTAGCACTGGTTTGTATTGGTTTGTTTCCATGCCAGAGTATGTGCTGGCAGGTGCGTGTGCACTATAGTGCACTGGAGGGGACTTTCGATCATAGAATTTCATATATTGTGATTGTCACATTTTCACATATTTGTACATCAGTGAACTTTTTATATTAAAAGGTTGAGCAAAAGAGAGAGAGAGAGAGAGAGAGAGAGAGAGAGAGAGAGAGAAAAGAAAAATACTCTAAGAATAAAGAGGACTGGGACCAGCAGTTGTAGTAATGGCTATGTGCTGGACTCCCATGTAGTTGACCACAGTTCGAGTCCTGGGCGCATGTGCATGCATGCCCAAGATCCTGAGAGAAGAATGGTAGAGAAGTGATTGTGGCATGGCCATCCCCCAGGGCAATGATTTCTCATTTTCTGTTTCTCTGAGCACACATGCCCTACAGCAAAACCTCTCCAATAAAAAAAAAAAAAAAAAAAAAGAGAATAAAGAGGACTAATATTACAATATAATTATAAGACTGTACTTCTGCTGTTTCTACCATATTGCCAATTGTCAGTGATGTCTATTTTATTTGTAATTATTTCTTTGAAAGAGTGGTTTCATTTCCAGAAAGTGACTTATAGAATAGCACTTTAGAAAGCAGAGATAATAGACATAGCCTATGATGGAGACTTCAAAAAGTTCATGGTTTTAATGAAATTTAATTATGAGTTTATTTTGGTGCCAAACAATTTTGAAATGTATGAATAACAATTTTGAAATGTATGAATAACATTGAAATGTATGAATAGCTTTTCTTTCTGTGAAATCTTTTTCAGATTAATTTTACATGAAGTCCCCATCATAATATACACAATATTTTTTCAACAAAGAACTTTACATTTTTCGTCTGTTAAATGTTTCTTCCTTTTGCACCTCATGCCCAATTTCTATAACCCACTCTTTACCACCCACTCTGTCCCTTATAGTCTCTGGTACCTACATGTATCGTGTATTCTCTCTCCTGTCATATCCAGATCATTCATTTCTGCCATGGAGGTCAGATATTTGGTACAAATTGAGAGGGGATATACAGCGTGTGTCTTTCCAAGTTTGGCTCATTTCACTGGACATTTAGTCTTCTATATTTATTCATTTTGAATCCATTGATAAGGTCACATTGATTTTTTCTTATAGCAGAGTAATATTCCATAGAACGTAGGTGCCACAGTTTTTCAGCCCAGTCATGTGTCAGAAAGACACTTGCACATCCATGTTTATTGCAGCATTATTCACAATTGCTGAAACATGGAATCAACCTAGGAATCCAAAAACTGATGACTGAAGGAAATTTTGAATATTCTTAGTACTGACAACCAGAATGGAGGACCGGCCTGTGGACATCCAGGGAGAAGACATTAGCTGTTCAAACCAAATATATCTAGAGTACAAAGGGCAAGAAAATCTCCAATGCAAATCTTAAAATCCTGAATATTGCTTGTGAATTTAAAAAAGTCTAAATAATGCCAACTGGGGAACCAGCAGTTAGCTTAATGGCTATGTCGCTGGACTCCCACAAAGTCAACCGCGGTTCGCGTCCCGGACCTGGTGGCTTAGAACTCACGCTGGGCGCGTGTGCGTGCGTGCCCAAGATCCCGAGAGGAGAAAGGAAGAGAAGGGATTGCGGTGTGACCACCCCCCTGGGGGGTGATTTCTCGCTTTCTGTCTCTGTCTCTCTCTGTCTGTCTGGCGAGCGCACGCGCCCTATAGCGAAAACCTCTCAAAAATAATAATAATGCCAACTGCAATTACATGAATACACATTTTTTAATGGCTAGAGTGCATGTACACTCACCAGAGAGCGAGAAAGGGAGGTTACCTCCTCCACAATGGGGGTAATCACACCACAAACTTTTCCCTTTATTTCTTTTTCCTTTATTTCCCTTGATTCCATCAGCATTGTAAGCACAAGCTCCTGGTGTGTTTTTTAAGCTGCTGGGGCCAGGATTCTAATCATGGTGATGTGGGATCCAGTTCCCTGGCCACAGCATTTAACCCTTGCACTGCCAGCTGTGCTGTATCTTTAGTTTTGGTGTAGTGAAAAATTGTTCAGAATTAGTGTTGGAGCAACTCTGTGTGCTCATGATTAAGGCAGATGGATCTCATCTGGTGGACCACACAGTAGGAATCTGGGCCCTAGGATTCTGAAAAACATGCAGGTTGTGTGTGTGTGAATGTCACAAGTCCCATCAGGATGGAGAAATGGAGGAAAGATCGTAGCATGACAATGCCCGGTCGGGGAGAGTGTTCTCTGTTCCCTCTCTCCCTGTCTCTCTGTCAATCTGTTCAGTCTCTTCCTCTGATAAGTGCACCAGTCCTCTAGTTAAATTAAAAAATAAACAATTAAGAACAATAAAGACACAAAAACCAGTTAAATTCTCCTGTAATCTATTGAGATACATAACCACCGTTCATCAAAACAAAATGAATCCCTTAGAAAGATGCATGGTCCTTTTGTCAGTTCTAGAGTTTAAGTTTATGAAATGGAATTTGCGTCTCTGCATTTGGAGTTTGATGGATCACCCTTCTTCCCAGGGTGTGTGCACTCATCAGAGAGAGACAGAGAGAGGGAGAAGGGGATGTGGTCATGCCACAGTCTCAACTCCGCTTTTGCATTCTGTTGAGATTTTGGACATGGATGTACAAGCCTGGCATGATTTACAAGCCACAGGGCCAGAACACCAACCACATGATTGACCATGTGGGTACAGGTCCCTGAACTACCATGCCACAGGCTGGCCTGATAGCTTTTTGTACAATCAAGTTTTTTAAGGGCTTTAAATGTGCCCTAGATTTGCATAATCGTATGACATTTTGTCTAGGGAACTCCTATGTTATGAAGTTGGATCAGAGTATCTCTCTCTGCTGTAGCTACAAGATGAAGGGCCCCTGTAGTTTTTTCTTCTGGTCTTTTCAATTTTCACAGGTGTGGTCAGATAATACCTTGCTTCATTAAGATACCATCTATATTCTATCTCCCCTAATTCTAAAGAAGGCTTGGGCACAAAATACCATGAAACCTCCTCACCACCTGGAGAGGTGTAACAGGGAGTTATCACCCAGTGAACTGAGCTTTAACCAATAAGAGATAAGCTTGAGGAATTGTTTTTCCTAATGGGTTTCACTGAAAACGTGGGCATACAGATGTATGTGTTTCATTCTCTTAAGTTGATTCATCACATCACATGTGTCCAGTGTGAGTTTTAAGCTGCCAGGTTCAGAACTCAAATGGTGGTCAACTATGTGGGAGTTTAGTGGCGTAATCTGTGGTTTCCACAATTTTTAATTTTAGAGAGATTTTTGCTATAGGGTACATATGATTGCCAGAAAGATAGACAGACAGAATGTGAGAAATCAACCCCCCCCCCAGGGGAGATGGTCACACTGCCTCCATTCTCCTCTCTGGATTTTGAGCACACACACACACACATGCACCCAGCATGAGTTTAAAGCGGCCAGGTCCAGGACTTGAACTACAGTCGACTACATGGGAGTCCAGAAATGTAAGAATTATGTTATCTGCTTGTCCCACTACACAAGTTTTAATATAAAATGGAAAAATTAATGATGTCTTCTATGAACATACATCAACCTTTTGCATTTTATACATGTACTAGGTGAGTGTAACAAAAAAGGAGAGTCCCCCCCCTTTTTTTTTTTAATTCCTTTTGCTTTTTAAAGGTTTTGCCAGAGAAAGAAAGACATAGAGAGAGAGATACGGGGAAAGTGAGAAAGCCTCCCCTGCCCCACAGGTCATAGTCATGCCGTAATCTCTTTCATTTCTCCCTCCTTTTGGGATTTTGAGCATGTACCAACATACAACCAGCTAATTTTTTAAACCTGCAGTGTTGGGTTATATTTCAAGGCTGGCCACATGGGCAGCTGCCTTAACCACCAGACCACAGATTGGCTTGCCCTTTCTTTCTGATGGTCCATTTCAATGTGTATTGAGTTTTTATGTTTTTATTTTCTCCTATTATTTTATTTTTATCTGTAAAATAATTTTTTGTACAGAAAAAAAGAGAATTAGATAGATAAAATGCTGCAAAATTAAAATAGAATCTTCATGTGTTGAACAAAAGATAAGAGTTGTAAGAAGCACATTCTAAATTTTGAACAACCATCCATAAAATGGTAATCACATACTAATACCACTTGCTACCAGACTTTCCTTTCTTTTTAGCTAAAAATTATAAAAACTCTTTAGTAACTTGATTTTTTTACGTATGAAAATGTCCTTCTTTTTAGAATGTGTTTATTATGTATATATGTTGTTTTTGTGTGTGGTATGTGAGACTGTGGAATAAAATTAAAATTTTTGCCATTGAAATTAATAGTTTGCAATGACTAATTTCTACATCTTTTTTTTTCTTTAATTTTTCTTAGTTTCCCTGCCCCCACAATAGGGCACATGCGCTCACCAAGAGAGACAGAGAGAGGGAAAGTGAGAAATTATCCCCTTGAGGGGATGGTCATACCACAATGCTTCTCCTCCATTCTTCTCTCAGAATTTTGGACACACATGCACATGCACCCAGTGTGATTTTTTTTTCTTTTTTTTGAGAAGTTTTTGCTATAGGGCACATGTGCTCGCCAGAAAGACAGAGAGAGACAGAGAATCAGAAAGCACGAACTCACCCCCCATGGGGCACGGCCATGCCACAATCCCTTCTCCTCCATTCTCCTCTCGGGATCTTGGGCACACACACAAATGCACCCAGTGTGAGTTTAAGCCACCAACCAGGTCTGGGACTCAAACCATGGACAACCACATGGGAGTCCAGTGATATAGCCATTATGCCAATCACTGGTCCCCCCAGTATGATTTTCAAGTTTCCAGGTCTGGGGCTTGACCCACGGTGGACCACTTAACCACTATGCCACTTGCTCGACACCTTTTTAAGGCAATGTTTATAGGAGGAAAGTGAAACTCTTACAGATAGTTTTAATTTTAAATGTACATTCATTTGAACAATTGGCATGGGTTACCCAGGAATCTCTTCAAAGCATTTTTCACGTCTTTGTTTCTCAGGCTGTAAATCAGGGGGTTCAGCATGGGTATCACTAGAGTGTAGAAGACCGAGGCCATTTTGTCAGTATCCAATGAGTGGTTGGTTCTTGGTTGCAAATACATGAAAAGAAGCGTCCCATAGAACACAGTGACAGCCATCATGTGAGAAGCACATGTGGAAAAGGCTTTTTGTCGCCCCTCTGAGGAACGTATCCTCAAGATGGCAAGGATAATGTTGAAGTAGGATACTAGGACGATGACCATGGAGAAAAACAAATTAGTTCCTGAAAAGGTAAACACCGCTGTTTCTGGAATATAGGTGTCAGAACAGGCCAGTGCTAACAAAGGCACATTATCACAGTAGAAATGGTTGATGAGGTTGGAGGAGCAGTATGACACAGAGAACACACAGGAAGAGACCGTCAGTGCTGTTGTCAGACTATGAAGGTAAGTGAGGGCGACCAGCAGAAAGCACACTCGTGGAGAGACCACCACCATGTAGAGCAGGGGCTTGCAAATGGCTACGTAGCGATCATAGGCCATTGCAGACAGCATGAAAATCTCAGCCACAATGAAAACTAAGAATCCTCCCAGCTGCGCTGCACATCCATAGTAAGATATGGTTTTCTTGGTAACCAAGAAATTAACCAGCATTTTAGGGGCAATGACAGTTGCATTTCCAAAATTGATGATAGCCAAGTGTCGGAGGAAAAAGTACATGGGGGTTTGAAGTCGAGAGTCCACACTGGTGAGGGTGATGATGCCCAGGTTCCCTGTCACAGTCAGCCCGTAGATCACCAGGAAAACAAAGAAGAGGGGAATCTGGAGCTCCGGTTTGTCTGAGACTCCCATAAGAATGAATTCAGTCACTCTGGTAAAATTCTCTGAGGCCATTTACATTATTCTGTTCATCTTCAGTGGAGAAAATTAAAAGAACGGTGAACTTGCCTTTCCTGTTTCTGCTAAGTTCAATGTCTCAACTTATTTTGGTTGGCAAACCTTGACAGTTACAGATCTTAATTGTTTCCTCCTATCTTTTCACAAACTTCATTAATACAAATTCTCCAGTGACAATTGAGATTCCCAGAACTGTTTGGAAAAAAAAAATCATTGTTGCATATAGTTTATATGAAGTGAATACACATATATTAATTTCATTATCCTATGCATTAAAATATTACAATGTGTATATGAATTATATTATCAGATTGGTGAATATATATGTATGAGATTGGTAAATATATATTTATTTGTGTGTGCATGTGCTTGCAAGGATAAAAGTGAACTTCCTTTAAGAAGTTAACAAGCAGGCCAGCAGATGGCAGAGCAGCTGCATTGTTGGACTCCCACATGGTCTAGTGCTACTAGAGTCCCAGACTCATGGCTTGACACTCACGCCTGGCATGTGTACATATGTACCCAAAATATCCGGGAGGAGAATGGAGAAGGGATTGCAGTGTGACCATCATTCCTGATTTTTTTTTTTTTTGAGAGGTTTTTGCTATGGGAGTGTGTACTCATCAGAAAGGCAGAGAGAGACAGAGAGACAGAAAGCGAGAAATCACCCCCCAGGGGGGATGGCCACGCCACAATCCCTTCTCCTCCATTCTCCTCTCGGGATCTTGGGCATGCACACACATGCACCTGGTGCGAATTTAAGCCACTCTGGCACTTGAACCACAGTCGACTACATGGGAGTCCAGCGACATAGCCATTATGCCAACTGCCATTATGCCTGGGCGGGGGGGGGGGGAAGAATTATGGCCTAACTGGAGCTCAATAGGGGTTGTTCTCTCTCTCTCTCTCTCTCTCTCTCTCTCACTATGGCAAGCACATGTGCCCTAAAACAAAAACTTCCAAAAATAAAAAGAAGTCTACAAGCTAGAGTGACCACTATGTGTATTTTTCTCAAGTTCCACAGGTGTCCTCTCCAGCCTATGTTTGTTAGCAATCATACTTAGGAATTTCATTATTTCTGAGGGAAACACTTTCAGATCCCTGGGGTATTTCCATAGCAGGTATATTTCTACCATATCAATCTGCTTCAGTTACCCACAAACAAGCCTATGTCTCAATCAGTATTGTTTGTTCTGAAAATCACTTTGAAACTGTGAATCCTCCTTTGTAGGTAGCGTCCTTATTTGGATAGAACACTTGGGCCCTTTAAGTAAATATGGGCTTTATGCTAATGCTGCAGGGCAAGTGAAAGCTCTAATAGAGACATGATCTATCTTTTGCAATGCAGGGCAGTGTAAATTAAAGCTGTGTGTCAACCAGAGAAGGTCAGGGAGGCTTGTTTTGAACCATGGGATGAAAAATGTTCTACAGATGCAGTCGACAATAGAAAATACCTGCTCTTGGGAATCAGCAGTTAGCGTAATGGCTATGTCTCTGGGCTCGCTCGTAGTCGACCGCGGTTCACGTCCTGGACCCGGTGGCTTAAAACTCATGCCGGGCGCGTGTGCGTGCGTACCCAAGATCCCGAGAGGAGAATGGAGGAGAAGGGATTGCAGCGTGACCATCCCCCCTGGGGGTTGATTTCTCGCTTTCTGTCTCTATGTCTCTCTCTGTCTGTCTGGCGAGTACACGCGCCCTATAGCGAAAACCTCTCCAAAAAAAAAAAAAAAAGAAAAGAAAATGCCTGGTCTCACCTCCTGCTTTTTTCCCTCATTGCTCTATAGAAGAATAAACCTAGGAATGGCTCAGTGCCATGGTGATCTCCATCAGAGATGCCTGGTCTGCCAGCTCCCCGTTTTTTTCCATATCTACTGCCACTTCCACTCGGGTCCATGGCCCCTCACTTCCCAGGCCAAGGCACTCTTTAGGTAATTTCAATTTCTTTCTTCTTCCAAATAAGTCAATCTTATCCTCCTACTCTAACTTCTAATTATTCAGACTCCTCTATTATTTTGCTTCACCAGCCTTTTCTTCCCTTTTCAGTTTTGTATCTTGTCCTTAAATTGCTTAAGGAAATATTTTAAAGCCTATTTTCATTTTTTAAACATTACTACTTATAATTTTTACTGGTTAAAGTTCAATTACTTTGATTAGTTTGACTTAGTTTAACAGAGACATGAATGAGGGAGAGTGCTAATATTTATTTAGCAAATAATTTGTGCCCAGAATTATGCTAAGTATTTTGAAGTAATATAGTTAGTTTCATAGCAGATAAGACAATTGAATTTCAATGAGGTAAAATTACTGAAATAGTCTTTGTAAGATATTGGTTTGGGTCAGCCTCATAGTTTAGTGATTAAGGGGGGCAGAATCCATACGATCAACCAGGGTTCAAATCCCAGCTCTGTTGACTTGAAAACATACCACAAGTATGTGGATGCATCCCACAGATCCTGACAGGATGGAGAATGGAAGAAAGGGATCATGGTATGACCACGCTCCTTTATGGAGTGCTTTCTGCCTCCATTTGTCTCTTGCAAATGCATTAACACTCTGGCAATTTTTTAAAAAAGAAGATATTCATTAAAGTTATGGTCAAAACCTCATAATTAAAAAATAATATTTAATTTTAGTTATTATTATTATTATTTTAGTTGGAGTAGGACATATGTGCTCACAAGAGAGAGAAAGACAAAAGTAGAAAACGAGAAAGCAATCCCCCAGGTCTAAGACTCAAACCATGGTTGGCCATGTGGGAGACCAGCACTTTAACTACTATTCCACCCTCTGGCTCTTAAACTTCATGCTTTTATGAGTTTTGTTTTGTATTATTTTGTTTATATGTTTGTTTCTTTGGTTGGTTGTTTGCACCAATTCCTAGCTGAATAACTTTTACCAAGTACTTATTTTCTTATATTGTCCATATTCAAAGAGATAATGCCCATATATAGTTTTGTTTGTTTTGCACAGAACCTGGTACCAAGTGGTTGAAAAACTGATGTTACCTATGGTTATTGTTATTGATATTTCACCTCTGCTGAAGTATGGCTGATGTCATAGCTAGGGATGCTTTTCATTTCAATAAGTATATGTCACTGAAATAAAGTTTCTGTAGGATAGTCCCAATTTGTTTGCTCCTGCCTTTTTTCTCAGAATCTTTTTATTTTAGCATTTACTCCTGTTAAGGGCAAAGATCTATTATAATTTTGCTACAATATTTGAGGGAGACATATTAATATTTTTCAGAGGTTTCTGCTCTTAGGGCACATGTACTTGCCAGAGAGAGACAGACAGTTAGACACAGTGAGAGGGAAAGGGAGAAATCACCTCTCTCAGGGGGGATTGGCATGCCACAATCCCTTCTCCTCCATTCTCCTCCTGGAATCTTGAGTATCGATGCACACACACCCAGCATGAGTTTTAAGCCACTGGGTCCAGGACTCCAACCATTGTTGGCCATGTGGAAGTTCAGCTACGTAACCACTACACTATTTTCTGGCCCTGGGCAAATTAATTTTTAACAGAAATATTCTATAGGTCTGACTTCTCAGTAAATGAAAATGTGAAAATTGACCTAATGTTACATATTTCAATATTCCATTTCACTTTCAAAAGTCTCAGAATTTGGATGAAAAATTATATTCCAAATTAATTTTTAGTACTATCTGATAATTTCAAGAATATATGAGGGCTTCTAAAATTCTATGAAAAAATGAAATTACATTATGAATTAATTTTGATGCAAAAGAAAATTTGAAATCTATAGTTTCCTTCATAATTTTCACTCATGCATGTTTGAAGGCCTGCTCTATACTTCATTGATTTTCAGCTGTGGACTTCATCTTCAATCTGTTAAGACATGGGTTGTATTTGGAACAAATTCTCTCAACATGAGTTCTTAATGTCCACTGGGTGCATAGAGACTGACCGTTGCTACCAGAAATCCTGTAATCCTAAGGATTTTTATTCTGGGCAATGAAAAAATTAAATATAGGAGAAAAATTCCTAACATTACTGGGTTTATGTAACATTTTAAGTTTTTCCTGGAAACACAGAATTGTATACTTCAGAGACATTCAAGAAGCTTCCTATCTTGTGCAGTGTGCCCTGTAAAATACTTTTCAGTTCTAAGGTAGAAATGCAGAAGAATCAGTCTTCATACTTAAATGAAATATACTTTCTTTATTGACTATTCAGTATTTTGTGTACCATTCAAGCAGTGCATTTCTCAGTCAGGATATTGAATACTACTGTTATGTCACGTCACCATTGTATTCACTAAGCAATCAATAGGAGGAGAGTTATGCCACTTGGAATAGGAAATAGAACAGCTATAATTTCAGTCCTGAATTTAATAGAAAAACACAACACTTTAACAACTCTTGGTCCTCATGTTTAGACTTAGCATTAAGTAAAATATTTGGTATAGCATACCTGTGCAGAGAGATCTGTTGAGACCCATCTCTAGGCTGTTGCAGGAAGCAGGCTGAAGGGCTTTCATAGGCCTGAAGTCTCTGAAGACCTTCACACTGAAGGACTTGTTTCTAGGTCCCAGTCCCCAAACATGAGTATTAGAATTCCCAAATAAATGTCTAATTCTCTTAGGAAAGAAAGACAATTTAAATGCTCATTAGCCAAGTTTCCACTCAAAATTTTGCCCAAGGAGTGAAAATGTGGACTTTGCCTAGGGATTCACTTAGTAATATTGAATCCCAAACAAATGCAGTGTTTCCATCTTTTTTTTTTTTCTCTTTTTAATTGTTTACTTATACTAGCTGGAAAGTGCTATTACTACTGCCCCTGAAAGGAAGAGCATCCAACATCTAGAAATGGTACACTAATATGAAATTAAGAGTAGAACTGAACATAAAACCTCCATTCTGTGTCAAGAAAAAGCCCTGGCGTAGTTGCCATAAAAAACCAGATGTAAAATGTAAATTTAGTATGTGAATGGTTATAGAGACTTAGTGTCAAATTTCCTTTGGAATTTTAAGGCACTCGTA